CTAGCTATTTTTGTTATTTTTTTGCATCTTAATTGTATTAAAAAAATGTATGCCTCTTTATAACTGTCTATTGTTGTTGCTGTTGTCATCATTCTTTGTTAAATTCAGGTCTCTCTTGTAAATGAGTCCTTGAGGCTCAGTGGGATTAACCTGCAGAAAACAGGTTGGATTAAACAGCTAATAAATGAACTACTGGACTGCTGGATGAACTCAAGTGCTGATGAATGAATTACATGTCTGATGCAAGAACCATAGGGCTGATGGATGATCTACATGTCTGATGGATGAACTATATGTTTAGTGGATGAACTACAGGGCTGATACATCTTTCAGTCAGGTCATCTGGACAGTCTCTTTTTGAGACTGTCCAGATGACCTGACTGAAAGATGTTGGATTGTGTACCTGGATTATTGAACATGGACTTTGTTACAGGGCTGATAGATGATCTACATGTCTGGTGCACAAACTACATGTCTGATGGATGAACTACATGTCTAATGGATGAACTACATGTCTGATGGATGAACTACAAGACTGATGGAGGAACTAAATGGTGGATGAACTACATTTCTGATGGATGAACTAAAGGGCTGATTGATTAAGTAGAGGGCTGATGGAACTATATGTCTCGTGGATGAACTAAATCGCTAATAAATGAACTAGTTGTTTGTTGGATGAACTAAAGTGCTGATGGACGAATTTCATGTCTGATGCATGAGCTACATGTCTGATGGATGAACTATTCATTAATTCATTCAACCTTTATTTCTACAGGTAAATCCCATTGAGCCTCGAGGACTCATTTACAAGAGAGACCTGATTTAACAAAGAAAGATGAAACAATGGACAACAGCAACAACAATAAACAGTTATAAAAAGTCATACAGATTTAAAAAAAAAAAATACAAATAAGATGGCAAAAAAAAAGTAAAAACAGCTAGATTATAAGGTGAATGTAGAAAACTAAAAACAGGAACATGTCTGCGTTGGTCCCTGCCAGGAGTCCAACAGATTCTTAAAGCCACTTAGAGAGGTCAAAGGTCAAAAGCTTCAAATCTTTTTGTAAGATATTCCAGGAAACAGGAGCAGAGTAGGAGAAGGTCCTATATACTATACTATATGTCTGATGGATGAACTCCATGTCTAATGAATTAACTACAGGGTTGTTGGATGAACTAAATGTCTGCTGGATTAACTACGTTTGGTGGATGTACTAAATGTTTGATGGATGAACTACATGGTTCATGGATGAACTGAAGGGCTGATGGATGAACTGCATATCTGGTGGATGAACTACATGTCTGGTAGCCATGTTCATTAGATAGAGAACTTTACTTATTGTCTTTTCTATCTACAGCTTTTGCTGGAGTGGTTCACAGCCGAGTGTGACGTGGCCAGGATGAGGATCAGTTCCTCCAAATCCGAGGCCATGGTCTTGAGGCTTTTATGTATATGAATGTTCCTGTAAAGTGCCCTGAGACAACTTTGTTGTGATTTGGCACTACATAAATAAAATGAATTGAACTGAGTCGGAAAAGGGTAGAGTGCCCTCTCCGGGTCGGGGAGGAGGTCCTGCCCCAGGTGGAGGAGTTCAAGTATCTCAGGGTCTTGTTCACGAATGAAGGAAAAATGGAGTATGAGATCGATAGACGGATAAGTGCAGCGTCTGCAGTGAAGCAGGCACTGTACCAGTCTGTTGTGGTGAAGAGAGAGCTGAGTCAAAAGGCAAAGCTCTCAATTTACCAGTCGATCTACGTTCCTACCCTCATCTATGGTCATGAGCTTTGGGTTATGACCAAAAGAACGAGATCACGGATACAGGTGGCTAAAATTAGTTTTTGCTGCAGGGTGTCTGGGCTCTCCCTTAGAGACAGGGTGAGAAGCTCGGTCATCTGGGAGGGACTCAGAGTAGAGCCGCTACTTCTCCACATTGAGAGGAGCCAGTTGAGGTGGCTCGGGCATCTGGTTAGGATGCCTCCTGGATGCCTCCCTGGTGAGGCGTTCTGGACACGTCCCACTGGGAGTATGCCCAGAGGAAGACCCAGGACACGCTGGAGGGACTATGTTTCTCGACTGGCCTGGAAACGCCTCGGGATTCCCCCAGAGGAGCTGGACCAAGTGGCTGGGGAGAGGGAAGTCTGGGCCTCCCTACTTAAGCTGCTACCCCCATGACCCGACCCTGGATAAGCGGAAGAAAATGGATGGATGGATGAATTCTGGTTGATGAGCTATATGACTGATGGATGAACTACACAGTTGATGGATGAAGTAAAGGACTGATGGATGAACTGCATGTCTGATGGATGAACTACACAGTTGATGGATGAACTGCATATCTGGTGGTTGAACTACAGGTTTTCTGGATGAAATACATGGCTTACGGATGAACAACTTGTCTCATGGATGAACTACATGTCTGGTGGATGAACTACATGTATGATAGATGAATTACATAGCTAATTGATGAACTACATGGTTAATGGATGAGCTACATCTCTGGTGGATGATCTATATATTTGATGGATGTACTACATGTTTGATGGAGGAACTACAGGGCAGATGGATGAACTACTTGATTGATGGATGAACTACATGTCTGGTAGATGATCTACATGTTTGATGGATGAACTACATGTTTGATGGATGAACTGCATGTCTGGTGGTTGAACTACAAGTTTGCTGGATGAACTATATGGCTTATGATGAATGGCTTGTCTCATGGATGAACTACATGTCTGGTGGATGAACTACATGTCTGATAGGTAAACTATATGGCTAATTGATGAACTACATGGCTAATTGATGAACTACACGGTTAATAGATGAACTACATGTCTGATGGCTGAACTACATGTCTGATAGATTAACTACATGGCTAATTGATGAACTACGTGGTTAATTGATGAACTACATGGCTAATTGATGAACTACATGGTTAATAGATGAACTGCATGTCTGATGGATGAAATACATGTCTGATAGAGTAACTACATGGATAATTGATTAACTACATGGTTAATGGATTAACTACATGTCTGGTGGATGAAATACACAGTTGATGGATGAACTATATGTCTGGTGGATGAACTACTTGTATGATGAATGAACTTCAACCTGCTCATGGTTGCGCTCCAGGCTCCATAGCTCCTCCCTCATGTTCTCCATCTGCCGCTCAAGCTCTGCCTTTGTTATTTTGGCCTCATCAATGACTCGGTACAAGGAGCTGATCTCCTCCTCCACAGCACTCCTGAAAGGTTGCTCGTTCTTGTACCTGCAGGAGAAACACGTTAATTAACTTCATCGTGCAATGCTGAGATATAGACTTCTTTATTGCCTTAGGGATTTTCTAAAATCAGTTGGCTGTGGTGGCCATTTTTAATTGGATTAACTTCAAAACTAATATGTGTCCATCAATGTTTAGGTTCAGCGTTTCTTTAGAATCGGTTCTGTGGTTCCTGGGCCATTTTGCTAACACACACACACACACACACACACACACACACACACACACACACACA